AGTGGTTAGGTGTTTTTCCCCTCCAATCTAAACTTCGACGAGCTGTTCATCCTGGAAAACCTCAATTTTCAAAATTTAGGTCACGACTTCAATTTGCCTGCAAATCCAGCCCCAGGGGTTGCTCTAAGGACCTGGTCCTCAACACGAATAGCACATCTGCTCACACGAAACCGTATGGTGTCAGCGCCATAGGCGCCACCTATATGTACAGTGTGACGGCGGCGACCATAACACGGACCCAAGCGTTCTTGCAAGGGGAGTGCTAAGGCAATTAGGGGTGCTGGACAACGTTCTTCACACAGTTGTGATTGTGATAACAAAAGACGATTTCTTCTGGCGTGCCATAGTAACGCTTCTCTTCTAATGCTCAGCCTCAACGACAAACTGTACTCTCTCCTCCAGGGACGGTCGCACCCAAGCGAATAGGTCTGCAGCTGCAAAAGCGTTTTTCCGGTTAAATGTGTATGGGTAACGGCTGGAGAGTTGCAATATGGTGTCGTCTCCCTAATCCGCCCCTACCCTCAAGGTGCAGCGCTTGCCTATGCCAAGGCCTCGCAGCCATACATGCGCTCAGCTGTGGAGAAGAACTGGAGGTAAGAGAGTTCAGAGATGTAACGCGTTTGGCCATGGTCAGGCCTGTGGCTGGTAATGCAGCAGTACGGGCGCACTATGGAGATGGCTCCCGGGTGCCACAGCCCTCCAGCCCCTTCATGTGCAGTTTGTTGTGGAGACAGTGGCACGCTACTGAAGCTGCGGACCCACACACCGCAGATGGCAAGGACCAGGATCTACGGGGGTGAGTGTACACTTCGAACTCAATAGAGGGAGGTATCACTAACTCGAGGAAGGGTGCGGCCGAGCAGAAAGGCTCAAAGGAGTCTAGGATGTAAAAAGAGTGGGAGGCCACTGTCACCTAGCTTTCCCAATTTACCATAGACGTGCGATATTTGTGTTTAGGCGGTCAGGCTATCCCGTGGCGCACGTTTCCAACCAGATTGCTGATTTAGGGTATTTCAACTGGGAATAAAACCCATGACCCAAACAAGTTGAGCCCGTAGAGTGAAGTCGCTGTAACTTCTAGAGAAACGAGAATACCGCAGAATCGTGGGAGTTGTTTCGTGTAGTCACATGTGGCTCTTGGATGCAAATGAAAACCGCTTTACTCGGCTACTTGTCGAAGAAGGTGGCGATCTCGATGTCGGATCTGCCTGGCTATTCAGCCTCATTTCTTGCTCTTCCAAGACGCGCACGAGTGGCATATATTTTCTGGTGCTTTCTCACATATTTCATTTTTGATGAGGAATCGGCTGCTTAATAAAAAAGCGGAACTTCTTAGCCGGGTTGATATTAATTGGCTGTGGAAGTAGAAATGCAAAAACCTAAAGGGTCGCACTATACAAATGCAGAGTAACACCAAGCCTCTCCAGCGGGATTCACTGCTTGACAAGCGTATTCTGCTTCTTCCGTCTTCTTAGCGTTCTTCAGAATCAGCCAATGCTTGTAGATGGGCTCTGGTTCGTGACGGATCTCATACTATAACACATTTTTTTGTTTTTTTTTTTTGTTCTTCCCCCTCCCCAGGGATGAATAGCTTCGCGTACCTTGTCGCTGTCAGAGATCAGCTTTCCGTCGCGATAGAAGCGTACATCTGGAGGTGGTGCTCCTTGAGTTGTGACCATCATCACGACTTTCTCACCCTCAACTGCATCGTGGTCAGAGAGAATACTGTCGAAATGTGGCGCAACCAGTTGCTGTGTCAGCCTGGGAGCATTCGGATTTGCCCGCTCGACAACCTGAACAAAAGAAACTTTTTTGCTGTAATGATGACTTCACTCAGAACACTCAGCATACCCTTCGGATTCTCCTTCGCTTCTTTTGAACCTTATTTTCGATTTCACCGTCAGAAGAGGCGACGTCGCTGCGATTCAAATTTCGCAAAATCTTCCTCTGACGACTTTGCATTGCTGCCTGATCTACTGAAAATGTCACAGTTAATAAGAGAAAATAATAAATCACAGCGCAGTGGGTACAATTGGTGGGGCGGGCGTTTGACGCTAACGTCATTGGTGGAGAGGTTGTGCGAGGGCGTCCGGCTACACCCCAGTCAGCCCTTTCACCAATAACGCTGGCAGTAACCGCCTGCCTCTAAATATTCGTTTTGTAAAATTAGGACTCCCAACGATGCACATAGCAGCGATGCACGATGCACATAAACGGGAAACACCAAGGATCAAAATTCAAAAGTCAAGTACACCTTTCTCTCCAGCCAACAAGGCTAACTACGTCCCCCTCCTCCCCTTTATAGAATTCTTCTTCTAGATGCTGTATCCCAAGGGGTGTATAGCGTGCCTGAAACAGGAAAAATCAACAATCAAAAAAACTACACAGGCCAAATGCGACCTCCCCACCTGTGTGAGGAATTTCTTACGTATGACCTGCCCGTCTGACCCATCGTAAGTCAGGCCTGATCTGTACTCGGCACTCCGCCAAGGGGGGCTAGTTTATCTGCTAACCAGGGAAGGTCAACAGGTCGCCATGGCCATTCAAGATGAGATGCATATCGACGTGTGCGTCTCGGGACGCTGAACTCAAATCTGCTTCCAAAATTTGC